GAAGAAGAAGAAGAAGAAGAAGAAGAAGAAGAAGAAGAAGAAGAAGAAGAAGAAGAAGAAGAAGAAGAAGAAGAAGAAGAAGAAGAAGAAGAAGAAACAGCAGCAGCAGCAGCTGGACCTTCATGTGCTACATTCCCGAGTGAAGGGATTTCACATAGAAAGTGTGCAAGCATAGAGAACTCCTAGATTTGGGGGCTCTAGAAGTTATGACCTAAGAATGCAGAACCAACCCCATCATCTTTTCCCAGACAGAAAAATGGAAGAGCTTTGGAAATACACAGAGGAAAGCAATAATAGTAGACATAGTTATGGAAAGCAATGGAGAGTCGACAGATATGAATGGAAGGGCACTCAGGCCAAGGAATAGGTTAGCAGAAAGACCTGGATCTGGCTGCCTCTGCAGCTTTCTCTTTGATGCACACTCCTATATGCACCCACCGACCACCCACCCAGGCCTGCCACAGGCACCTAGGGATAAGGCAGTGTTTAAGAGCCTTAACTCAACATCAGAAGCAGAGAAAGGTGAAAAGAAAGTTGGCTGAGGCCCTATTTCCAAGCTCATACATTTTCTACAGACAGAGAATGAGGTTCAAAATATAAACTAACCTGAGGTACTTCATATCAAATTATAATTATTGTCTACCTGAACCATGGTGTGGACCATATTAATGCCGTATCATAAGAGAGGAAGATTTAAGGCCATATGTTGAGGGAATGCCGTGTCAAGCAAATTCATCAGATTTTTTCACAGAACAAGCTAAAACTTTTAACATGGAAAGGATACTCGTCAAAATTTAACTGTCACAAAAATCTAGTTCTAAAATGCTGACTTTGTGGACAAGTTGTGCATACAGTGACAACACAAATCACTTTTACAGGGGTTGGCTTGCAAGATTTTCCATGCAAGCAGTAGAATTTTCGCACCCTTCCATTTCAACATGAATAGCTAAAAAAATTTTTACTAATATTTTTGATGGATGTTAAGTTCATTGTAAACCCTCAGTACTCTGGGGAAATCCCAATTCTGGCTAGAAAAGGATAATATCCATCATCTGTATAAGAATAGCTGGTGATTTTTTTTCTTTTGCTGAAAAACTTGAGTTGGAGATAAGATATGCCATTTGCTAGCTCCATATCCATCTTTCCCTCTTTCTTTGAGTTGCATTAATACAGATTTTAGACAGGAAATCATGCTTGCTGTCAGGCATTTCTTTCCCTAGTGATTTTTTTTTTTTTATTGCTCAATTAGAATTCTCTCCAGGGCATGTGACCGATCCTACCCATAATAGGGAAAGATTTGAGCTGCTGAGTCAGGGACGGTACAACGCGTCTGTTTATGTGCAGTGTCTGTGGTAGTTGCTAGGCAGGTATTTGTTAAATGAAAGGTAGCTATTTGAATCATCGATGGTCCAGAACCTATAATGCAATGTGTGTGGACAGGACAGTACATCAAGGAAAGCAATAGAGACAATTCAGAGCTCATGCTCAGCTAGATAAGTGGATTTAATGGCCTTGTATGAGAGAGGAGCTGTCAGTTTTCAGCTGCAAAAAAAAGGCTGTCTGTAGTACGCTTAAGGGGGTGTGGTTTAGGCGCTTGATGTAAATCTGTCTCGACAATGATCTGTTCTTCTATGATAATAAGTAATGCACATAGGCTTCCTTTTAGAAAAACACAGTTAGTGGCCTCCACTGTCTCAGTTACAGATAAATCTTTCCAATTTCCCTTCTTTTCCTCTGTTGCTAATCTACAGATCCTACCATACTGACGAACATACTTATTGCTGCTAGAAACTGCCACAGGCGCATTGGCCACTGAGTGCAGTAGCTAACCAGAGTCTCTCGGGGTGACTGGCTTCTGCTTCATTCACGTCACACACCTTGAAAGAAAAAGGGAGGATGGCTGGAGAAACAGGGAAAGGCTCCCTGTCTGTGGTAACCCTGGTGACAAGGAAGGACAGAAAGTCATCTACCCCACCCCCAGTGATGTAAGGAAGGGGACTATTTGCAGTACTAAAACCATGGGAAGGTTGTTCTCTTTGGCAATAATGTAGTTTCAAAGAGGAGGTTGGTACCATTTTTATGTGGGGGTGGAATATATGATAACTTCATTCCTTCAAAACCATTTTTAAGAGGAAACAGAATTGCACAAATTATATTCCACTGTACAGCAAAACAACAAAATCAACAGAAATTTAAACACCGGTGTAAGAATCATTACAAGAGACTATAAATCATAATACTATATTATTATATTTTGTCTGTATTTCACATATGCTCAAATCAAGTGATAGGAACACTTCTTAAACTATAAATTAAGAATGTAAGTCACATTTTAAGGACAAAAAGCTAATTATGAAAAATAAATGATGCCAATGGTAGACAGCAAGATAAATCTTAAAGTGTATGACTTTCCACTTGAGCAATACTTTTTAGAAAGATTGTAGGTTAATGTTTAACCTTTATGATTAAAACATTAATCAGATAATTCTCTGAGTGAATGAAGATTTATAGAGCAATTGCTAGAGAATAAATAAACTATAAAAATATAATGGATTGGTTTGACGAGAGTGAAAAAAACTTTATTTCATTTCATTGGGTTTGGCTATTCTTTCGGGTAGAGCAGTGAAGGATAATGCCTGTGGCTTTATAACCCTCAAGGAGGAAGTCATCTTTCAAGACAGGCAGAATGTGCTTACCTCTCACAGCGTGGTCCTGTGTACCCCGCAGGGCATTCATCACAGATCAATCCAAGACTCGGGTCTAAATGGCAGGTCGGGCTAAAGCTTCGTGGACACCAGCAAACGACAGGAACAAGGAGGAAGCACAGACAGACAGTCATTAGCAGTGTCCTTTCATTTCTCTTCCTTCACTGCTACTGTGACAAAAGGGTACAGGCCAGTCATTCTCATCTCACATGCAGAGATTAGGGTCTGGTCATTGGAGGATGAAATGACCTTGATATTTCCGTGGACATGAATACAGCCCAGCAGAGAGCTTCTGCCTGTGGCATGGACTTAGCTGGCTTTTGGCTGTTTGGGGTCTTGGCTCATCAGTAAAGAGGAAATACACTGCTGTTTACAGCGATTCCCTAGGCCTGACCGCACACAGCCTCATAAACCTTCTCTCTGGCTGCATCCTGCTGAATCAGAAGCAGCCTGGAGAAGAATGTAGGGATTTCGAGCAACTGACAATTAGTAGTGGCAGCAGTAGCAGTGGGGGCGGGGGCTCCAGTATAAGGTCCCCTACCACGGGGGGTGTGTGTGTGGTCACAGGCACCTGTGGCACTGATCAGGGACGCCTTCGGAAAAGATCAGGGTGTGTGATCCACGTAAGCGTATGATAAAAGAGAAGAAGACAATATTGACATTTATGAAATTTTACTTTCTCTTTGAACACATTTGAATTTGGGTCTGAAGGACCAGAGCTGACATCATGAGCTGGATTCACGTCACCAGGCCTGGGCACAGGCTTCCTCCTGTGCCGAGCTCACCCCAGGGGCACATGTGGCACAAGGCTGTGGTCAAGGGCTCTCGTGAGAGCACTCAACCAGCTTGAATCCCATGAGTGCTGCTGATTTCTAATTTTTAATTTTTTTTGAGATACATAAAAATTGTGCATATGGATGGGGTAAGATGTGATGTCTTAGAGTGTACATTGTATAATCATTAAGTCTTATTAAGTATTTATTATTTCCTTATAGAGAAAACTTGGACAATCCTTTCTGCTAGATGTTTAAATGTGCTGCACGCCGTTGTTGTTTACAGCAACCCTACAATGACACAGCACAAACAGAGCTTCTTCCTCGGCACCAGATGGCCACTCCCCACCACCATCCATGGAGACCCTCCAGGCTCTGGTAACCAGCCCCCTAACCTTCTTACATTCCACATTGCTCTACCATTTGAAAAGCCAATGCCCTCAATTAATCTTTTCCTTATTATGTTTTCTCAAATAGATTTATTTTCTGTTATATATGACAGCACAATTCAGTAGGGGGCTTGTTTGATGGCTGTATGAATTAAAGAGAGAACAACAAATTAAACACTACAAGTACCCATCTATCTCTGCTCTTGACACTTATAAGACTTTGTAATGCTTTTTCTTTTTAACTTCTGTGCAGGTCAAATCATGGGTACTAATTTTGAACAACTTCATTCTAGACTAGCTCATAGTAGTGCTGTAAAGACAATAATTTATATTTTCTTCATAATACAAAGTTATTAAGAATCAAGTAGACATATTATTTTAAATATTTGACTCAATGGAAATGGAAATGAATCTATTGGGTCAAGGAGAAAAAACCCAGACAGAAGAACCTACATCATGGGGTGCTGGTGGCTGCCCTTGGCACATAGGGTTGGATCTCTGAAAAGAGAAAGGAACCTGTCCTGTGCCACCTAAGACTGCAAGAGGCCCCACCATAGGTGATCGTCACTGCAGACAGAAGGTGGCAGTGAAGGACACATGCCAAAGGGAAAGAGCTAGGATTTTACCTCACCCTTTTACCTTTTGTCTGCTTGATGCATAAATTACTAAAAGTGACTATCATCTCTTTATATGAATAAAATGTACTCTGTAATTGTTTGCAGACACAAAAGAGGTAGCTGGATTTTGACAACTCTCTACTGTGCTTGCGCATCTTCTTTGGAAGTCAGCCCTCTACAACATCTCAATATGTGTGCAGAAAGGGACTCCAACTGGAAACCTGAAGTCCACCACAGCATTGGGCGACCACAATTGAAACAAAAAATCATTCAATTATTTTTTTAAACTTGTACACCAGTCTGCCATAAGACATGTCAACGGTGGTTGACAAGGCTTCAGACACTTTAAAACTATTTATAACATAGATTTCAAATTCTTATAAGATACTCACCTGTTATTTTAAAACAATAGAAGTAAAATAAAATATGCTCCTTGACAAAAATCAATGTTTTTTTTCCAGAAAAAATTAGCAGTAACAATATATTAGATTTGACTAACTGTTAACAGTGCATACAGTTCTGAGCCGGTTGAGACACCCTACTTCCCAGGAGAACTGGGCATGGATCCAGCTCTGAAGATCTTCACATGGGTACCGTCTTTGCCATGTAGCCAATCAGCACTTGAACCTACTGGTGGGAACTGCATCATACAAGTGCTTGACTTCATGCATCTAAAGGAAACCACTCCTAGAAATAGATCTGAATTTATGCTTTGATATTATCTCAATAACATAAACACAGCATCCATTGATTCATGACTGTTATAGCTATGGCAGAAGACAGCATTCAGTAGCAAAAATAAAATCAGAATGAGAGAAGAACACACCCTAAAAAAGTACCTGCGGGATTTGTACTGGCAAATGCAGCAATTTAACATCACTTTGGGCTGAAACACCAATCTAATTGTTCTGTGACCCAAAGAGAGAAACACAAGCTCATCACTGACTTCGAGTGATGCCAGGACTGTGTCAGTGAGCTCTAGTTGGCTTGCTTCACAGCAGCTGAGAGAATGCTTTGTTTCCTGGAGGGTCCAGCTCACAGTGCTGCAGGCACTGGGCAGCCGAGAACAGGCACTTCCCATGGATGTGGGAAGGCAGGGGGGAGCTGCCATTGAAATAAATGTGTGGGCGGAGTTCCTCCTAATGACTAAATGTAGATCTTCGTATCACATGTATTGTTGTAAGTGTTTCTCTGTCTCTGTCTCCGTCTCTGTCTCTGTCTGTCTCTCTATCTTTGTTTCCTCTCTCTCTGTCTCTTTCTCTCCTTCCCTCCCTCCCTCCTTCTGTCTCTCTGTCTCTTTCTCTCTCTTTTTTCTCTCCCTTTCTCTGTCTTTCTGTCTCTGTTCTCTCTCTATATATATATGATTATGTTTAAATAGGATTATGTAAGTGAACTTATGTATATTTTCCTATCAGTGATACATACAGAAAAATGTAGCTGTGTTCCAAAAAACTTTAATAAATAATATTTTTTGTGGTGTACTGGGAATTAAACTCAGGGCCTTAGACATGCTAGGCAAGCACTCTACCCCTGAACTAAATCCACAGCCCATAAATACTAGTTTTAAAAGGGATAATTAAATATAACCTTTTGAGTGAGTCCAAAAGTCAGATCTAGAAGGGTCATTTCTTTATGATACATACAAAGCAGTAGGACTGAAAATGACTGTAGTAGACAGAATTACTGAGGGCCTTCTGCTCATTCCGGCTTATTCTAACCATCCCTGTAGCTTTATTACATAACTTATGATAAGATATAATAGTATCTATTCAAATTCAGTTTAAATATTTGAGGGCACAAACTCACATTCTCTTTCAGTTCTTATTTAAACAATAATCTATGTGATACAGAAAATTAATGATTATAAAGCATCTGTAACATTTCCACTTTTATTTTCTTCTTTAGCGGTATAGCTCACTCCTTTTTACAATCTCCAACTATAATATATACATCATTAAGATGAAAGGCCAAGCAAACAGTGGACAATGTAAGTAGTTATGAAATTGATATATATGTATAATTTAAATATTATATGCTTGTCTTTATTCATACATCACAATAATTATAACAATCTATCTCTATCTTCCAACACACTTGATTTATTTAGCAATATTATCTAAGAAATTTGGAGCCAAACGCTCGTGAGCCATAAGATTTATGACTAGGGATTAAATAGATAAATCACCAAGGTAAAACCATCATGAAGCCTTATACTTGAGATGAAGGTTGCAGCAACCTTTAGTTTTTTAAATTTCTTTTTTTCTTTGAGTAACCTGTGTAATTTCAAATTCCTTCTTTTGGATTACACATGAATCCAGTTTATGCCTCAGCATTCCTAACTCAGATGATAACGATAATTACAAATAGACATTTCAAACAGAAAACATTTAGGTAGCTACACTAAAATCAATTTTTCCTAGCACAACTATGCATGTAAACTATGATACTTTTCTAAATTGTTTTCATAGCAAAAGTTTGTATAATTCTAACCATAAAACTCAAAGGATTTATAAACTGGATTGTCATTGATTCTTCTACTGCTTACAAAACACTACAACTAAATCTGGAATCTAAAAAAGGCCATTATTCATATCTCAGTTGTACTACTAATGATAACATTATCATTTGGTTTTTTAATAATTACTGTAATTTGGAAGTCTCTTAAAATGGAATAATCTCTAAATATATAGTGTTATTGGTATTAGCGAGCAATTTTAATTTTAAAAATTCAATGTTAATGTAATTCATCAAAATTGTAACACATATATTCTAGGAAACATCATCAACAGATACTGGGACCTAAATCCATTTTGCAAAGATCAATGTTGCCTTAACATTTGCTGAAGTTATCTTTTCATCAGGAACAACACAGCCTGAACTCATTATCGAGGTAGAAACACAGCAAATATGAAGGAGTGGGTTATATGTGCCTGGAATTATCAAAGCAAGATTCTCTCCTCTTCAGTTAGTCATGTTGGTCAGTCTTCCCGGGAAATCTATAAGGTCTATGTATTCAGTTAGTCGTATATTTTACAAATGAATTAGGTTAGGATTCACAGACCTCGATAAATGGCCACCTCTGCTGAATGGCTGTCTACACTAACACTGACGACATTTTAGTGGAGAAAGAGAGGTGCCAAGATGGAATTCTCAGATGTAATTCCTCGTCCCTTGTCAGTGGAGTGTAGTACTGAACAGTGGGCTTTGTGTGCGCATGGATGGCTTGGAGAACGCCATTCAGTCGTGGTACATGAGTGGGTCCTGCGTGTGCGTCTAACCCTCAGTGGGTACAACACATAGAAACTGGGTCTCACTAAACCAACAGGCAGCTGAGTAACTATTAATTATGAAGGCATTTATCACATGTGTTCTCAGCTTCCCATTGTTTTCTAGCAGCTTTCCCTTTTGGCTTCCATTCATCTCTGAAACCACTGGTGACCAAAAGATACTTTGTTTTGTGCCTGTCTCTGCAGGTGCTTCTCTGGAACTGTTCTGATCACTAAGAGACATTTAAGCCACTTCTCATTTTCTCAGGGTCTTTCTCAACAATGCCAGGGACCTGGTGGACATGCTGATTGCTGTTAGGGTCATCACTTGAAATTAGGGCACAGTTCTTTTAAAGCTCCCAGTGCGTACTGCAGAGTACAGGAAGTACCTGGAGATGAAGCTGAGACTCCAATTTGCTGAGTGTTCTGTGAGCAGGTTCCTGAACAAGCAGCCCTCACTTCACTGTGTCTCATCCCTGTCTCAGTAGTAGAGCATGCGCTTAGTATGTCTGAGGTCTTGGGTCATTGTCTCCAGCACCGGAAGTTATTAGTGATTAAATAGAGGGAGAGCTATACACAATTACTCACTAGTAAAACTTTTGATTGTGCTCACTGTGGTATGCCTTGTTTTAAAAAAAATTTGGCTTCAAAGTCTATTTACAGTAGATGGTTTCACTTTTGCAAATTTCACTTACCCCATGAGTGAGTTTTAGGTGTTTCATATATTTTAATCAAGTAATTTTCACAGCAGCTCCAGGTGAAGTCCCTCAATCATGACTGGTGGTGAGTGAGTGTGAGTAATTTGCCATAATTCAAGCAGCTAAAAAATGTGTAGCTCTACATTTGAAGTAGAATTGGGGCCATAAAACCACTCAATTTCTACTCAAATGATTCATTTTATAATCTATAAAATGGGGGTTATAATATCTACCTAACTAAATTATTTTTAAGATGAATTAAGAAAATATGGTTCTTGGCCCCATACCTAGAATTTTGTACGCTGCTTTCATTAAATATTAGTACTTTCTCTTCCTTTCCAAGCAATGAGCAAGAAGGAAAATTCTGAAGAGTTGGGTAGGCGGAGAGGAGCAGGAGGATTTTGTGTAGGCTGAATGGTAGGAAGCACAGTTCCAAGCAGGATTTTTAGACTCAATATTCAATTATTTTTAAAGTCTTTAGCTGCAGAATTCATTGAATCTACTAACAAAAGACCATTTTGATTAGTAGAATCTTGGTTAAGGGCTCAGTGTAAGACCTACTTGGCTAAGTCTTCACATGAAAAGACCACAGTAGAGATTTCACTTTAAATATTATTTACAAGTTTTGCTCTGTGAACATTAATATTTATTTGGAAAAAGGGTTGGAAATACCTGCTGTAATAGGAAGTTTACTAAGCATGGTGATGTCCTTTAAGAGGGTTCTCTAGAAGAGAAAATTTTTTCATTTAAATGAATAGTTAGAGCTGGGCTGGTGCTCAGTAGTAGAACATGTGCTTAGCATGTCTGAGGTCTTGGGTCATTGTCTCCAGCACCAAAAGTTATTAGTGATTAAATAGAGGGAGAGTTACTCACTAGTAAAACTTTTGATTGCGCTCACTGTGGTATGCCTCGTTTTAAAAAATTTGGCTTCAAAGTCTATTTACAGTAGATGGTTTCACTTTTGCAAATTTCACTTACCACATGAGTGGACTCTTGAAAATATAAGGAGAAGCAGGTTAAGGTAAGAGAAGAGGCCATCAATAAAAGTGTGCTGTGTCTTACTTTTTAAAAGTCTAATCCAAAGATTAGAGCACTTGGCCTGCATAAACAACTATAATATTCTGAAAAGAAATTATATAAAATTTATATTAAATGTTTTGAAGAACCATATGGTTTATAAAAGTTATAAGGAAATATCATTCATAGGTTACTACTCCTGAATCCATGATGTAATGTGCATCATTAAATAATCTTAAAAGATGTACATATAATATAAATGTACATGTGTATGAGGTGAATTATCCGAGAATTCAGGGACAGGATGGGCACTTGAAGGTGAGTTGGATGAATTCCGTCATCTTACCTTATGAGAGTTTTATGACTTTCTCAAGATTTACAGAGACATAGCATGAAGTGAAAGTCCAAATGATCGGTGTATTGGTGGCAGTGTATATCCATCTGCATACCCATCCGCGCCACGAATGCGTTTATATAGAATATGCCTCTTCTTTGGAAGTGGTATAGAAATTAACATTGAGTTCTGTCCCTTTGATATTAAATCATCAAAACTAGAGCAAACATATTAAAAATCCTTCAAAATAAAGTCATAACTTTAAACATTTTACATTTACCAGCTGACATTATCTTCCTGAAAATTTTGTGTATCTATTACTGCCTGTGTGTGTTGGACACAAGGGCACCTTGGATATCAAAAGTACACTTGTACACCCGGCTGCCACACTCCCTGACGTGGCAGGTTTGTTACTTACTTATTGGATGGGACATTGAGTGGACAGGCACAGGGCTGGCAATCTTCAGAGGTCCCTTGAGTAGGATCGCCATAGAAACCAGGAAGACATACATTGCAATAGGGCCCACCTGTGTGATCCTTACAGTTCTGAGGAAGAAATGCACACCAGTGCATTAGTTTAGTCTCAAGCAGCAACATGTGGCCAAAAATAGGTCTACAAAGTCATTAGTACGTTCCCTGCCTGAAGAGCAATTTTTCCACATTGAATGGTCAATTTTACAACAGAGAAATAGCTCTGAACATTAATTGAATATCTAACTTACAAATGACATGCTAGCTTCTGCACGTGCAAACTCATGAAAGGACCACAGAAATTCATTATGCTTCTTTGATCATGCAAATCTTTCTTTTTATTTACATATGGGAATAGCTGTTAGTGTGTGTGTGTGTATTCGTGTGTGTGACCATAGATCTTGAATGACATATGTTTAATAGAAAATGGAGCTGAGTCGAGGTAAGAATCAATTGTTCAGCTTAAAACTGCTGATTTAATGAGAGCCGCAGCTAAACCTACAGGTCTCCCAGCACCAGGCCCTCTAAGTTCAGTCATTAATTTTGAACTTAGAGGACACTGATGGCTTGGACAATATGTCCCTATATTACATCTGTGAAGACTTTGCTTGATTCGTAATTGAAGGGGGAGAAAACTGAAAAAAATTTAAATGCATAGCAGGGATAATAAAAATCACAAGGCACCTATCAATTTTCTTCAGCCATTTTCAAAAGAAAACTGAAAGGACATTTTTTGACTCATTTCCTTTTCAAAAATCAAAATAAAATGATTTCTATGTTCATTGCTTCATATTAAGTAAAGTCCATTACTAAGCTTAAGCAGTGTCCATAAAACTGAAGACTGGCATGTAGGGGAATAGTTTAATTAATGAAATAATAGAATTATCTCTAAAACTTGTAATAACAGAACATGATACAATTTTATTTTGTTTTGTTTTTTGGTATGCATGACTTCAACCTCCAATGGTACAATAAAGAATATATAAAATTTCTATTAAAATCATAAACAAGATTATTTGTTACAGAATTATGCTTCAAAATGAATAAGGATAAGTAGTTGTACCTTTGCTCATATTGAAAACATTCATCAGAAATCTAGAATACATAGCCATTTATGATCAATTACACAATTTGTAAACTAAATAGCTACAACATACATTGAGATTAAGCATGGATTAAAAATTTATACAACTGGATGGCCATTGGAATAGTTAGATTAAAATAGTGAAAATCCTAATCTATTTATTTTAATATACTTTTCAAATCTTCATTTTAAATTACATATAATAAATAGACTTAGCAAGAAATAAAGACACCCTTTGAACATAGCATTTTAACTGTCCTTAGAGAAGTCAGATTTATTTGCAGATTGGAAGAAATCTAGATTATAATTCAACCTTCAACTCTGACGCTGCCATTTACATTCTAATTTTGAACAAAGAAGCTAAAATTGATCATTTAGGATGCTTTCAAGCTCTCCCAGCTTCATCAACTACAAGTTCAAAGATGTTTCTATCAGTAATTGGCAATAAATGGTGTTTTTCATATGTTTTAAATCTTTTTTTTTCTTTTTCTTTTCTTTTCTTTTTTTTTTTTTTTTTTTTTTTTTTTTTTTTTTTCTTTTGTATTTTAGGGAAGGGTCTACAGGGTGTTTAGGGTCTCACTACTAGATCGGACCCATAGTGATTTGCCTGTTTATAGTTTCCCAAGAGCTAGGGTCACAGGCGTGTGCCACCACACCTAGGCTCAGCTGCCCTCTCAGTGCATTCCAGGGGTGGCACCAGCATGGCAGGCCCAGGGATCAAACCCCCAGCCCCAGCACCTGTTTGCAGGTGTTTTAATCTGCTGAGCTATTTGGCCAGCCTTAAGTCTTTTAAAATTTATTTAGCAAAATTATTTAAAAGATAGTATAAAATTTAACTTCACTATCAGCAGTTGTCTAAACAACAGAGCATATTGATTACTACTGTATAACTATGGAGCATTCTGGGAAAAATTTTCCTTTGTCTCTTTAAGTCTTTTGGATCCTCATGGCCACCCTTTGGTCTGTGCCTTTATACCTCCTTTCTCACTTTCCAAGGTTGGCGAAACTCATTCATTACCTTAAATTGTTTGTTTTTTGAAAAATTATTTGTATCTAGTCATGTTAGCATAAACAAAATTACATTGTCAGCAGCTCAGAGGATTTAAGAATTAGATTCCAAAAACTGGCTATGCCTGAACAAATCCAAGATAGGCTTTCTTGGTCTGGGATATAGTTCAGCAGCATAAGCGCCTGCCTGGCAAGTGCAAGGTCTTGAGTTTGAGTCCTGGTTAAGAACAAAACAAAACAGAACAAAACAACAACAACAACAACAACAACAACAACAACAAAAACCCTATATTCCCAAATAGGTTTTTTAACTCATCCAAAAAAATCTTAATATAGCTCAGAGAGGGTGCTTTTATAAATGAGTTCTTCAAAAGATAAGTGCAGTATATTTTTTATAATACCTCATTTTATCTTCACTTAATGGAAACAAAAATACATCTTAGAGCCCACTTTGTGTGTGTGTGTGTGTGTGTGTGTGTGTGTATGTGTGTGTGTGTGTATGTGTGTTACTAGAAATTCAACTCAGGACCCTGAGCTTGCCAGGCAGGCACTTGGGCAACTAAGCTATCTCCCCAGCCCAAGCCCAAGTATTTTTTGCAACTAGAACAGGAAACAACATTACACAATTAATACAATTAAAATCCAATGCAAAAAGAGGGCTATTCCCATCTGGTATTGTGGTTAAGTTGGTGGACGTCTTGGTGTGAAGGAGCCTGTCGTGTGACTATTCTATCACATATCACCACAGTGTGAACCACGCCCTTTTCTATTGTGGGCTAAATGTTTCCTTGGTCAATTCAAAATTATTATTATTATTATTTTATTTTTTTTTTGTGGCAGAAACAGGGATTGAACTCAGACCCCTGTGCTTGCCAGGGAAGTGCTTATTCTACTGAGCCATATTCCTGGCCCTTGATTCAAAATTATTTTGAGAAAAGGTGACTTTTAAAACAGGTCCACATTTGAAAAGAGTTATGATTTTATTTGGAAGTCAAAAATGTATTTTGGTTAATTTAAAATTTGGTATTTTTCAAGCCAAGCTAGGCCATAATCAACTTCTCCGTAAATAGCATAAATTATCTGTTTAATAATAGAAAAATATTCTACATAATAAAAAAAAGCAATTAATGTATAGGTGTAGGGTCAGAAAAATGATACCAACAGTGACTTTTATGCACAATTTTTTGTTCCTCTATACCGGGGATTGTACTCAGGACCCTGTGCTTGCCAGGCAAATGCTTATTCTACTGAGCTATCTCCCCAGCCCATTTTATTGACAATATTAAAAAATTTTCCATTTGTGGATCATATCATTAATATGATCAGGATGGGGGTTAAGCACTTCATTATTATGACTATTTGAGACAAAGGTATCAATCAGTCTCCAGGAGAAACTTCACATGATCATGTGTTTATGAGCTACCTGCAAAAACTCAGGTCATTCTGTGTATATCATGAAGCTGTCTGGATTCCTTTATAATTTGAGCATGGACCCCCTTCTGACTTTCTACAAAATACATACACCAGGCTTCCTTAGGAGAAAAACACCGAGAACACTGTCCCCTCCCTTCTTTCTCTCCCAAGCCTAGAATTATGCTGAAATAATCTTCTCTGAAGCCAAATGTCTTTCATTGTTTGAAATATCACATCTCGAGCTGGTCCTAAGGCACAATCTGCTTTCATCAAAGTGGATTCTACTTGAAATATGACCATAGGGAACCTTATAAACTCAGTATCATGGCATAAATATTTTTGTATTTTTAGAGTTAAGTAAAGAAAAGCCGCATTAGTTTTGAGCTGTATACTTCCTATTTTATATTAATCAAGTGTTTAAAGATAATTCAATATTTTCCCAAGGTACACTTGAAAAGACTATGCGATAATTAAAATGAAACTCAGTCTTTCTATTTGTAAAAATGCCATTTGAAAAACTACTGATCTCAAATTAAGGCTATCGTGCTTTAAACTGCAATGCAATTAAGCAAAATCTCATACAGAGAAAACTGAAAGTATATCAATAAACCTAAATGCCAAAATTACATTGAGACAAAAGCCCTGATTTTTCATTTTGAATTGTTCCCAGAAGCTTTAAGCAGAGATTAAAAAAAAAAAAAAGTGGCGGTGGTGAGGCAGAAAAACAGAACATTCCAAGTTACAATCATCAGGGTCTGCCTTAGCATCTTCAGGGAAGTGACAAGCTAATATCTTCCTAACCTGGCATCATCACACAGAAGGCCTCTTTCAGCCTCGCGCCATGCCGGCCACTGTCCAGCTAGCACAGCCCTGTGTCAGTCACAAGGGTCTATTCAGAGCCATTCTCAGTTCTAAGGCTGAGCAAAATGGAAAGGGTTTTGCAGTTTGTAGACACTACTTTCCAGTTAAAATATAGTTTTAGTTGTAGAAGGAGAAATAACTCATATATACGTAAATATATATATATTTGAAACAGGGTCTTGCTATGCAGTTCAGACTGCCTCAGCCTCCCCAGCACTGGGATTGTAGGTATGTGCCACCACATCTGGTTTCTGGGCTGTCATGGCACACCTCAGGGGCAGGGCTGGGATACATGCAGAACTGGGGTTCAAACCCAGGTCCTTGCATTTGCCAGGCAGTGCTTAGGAAGCCCAACTACCTCCCAAGCCTATAACTTTAATCTAATAATGACACTTCATGTAGTTAAATGCTCAAATTTTTAAATAAAAATATATGCTACATCCTCACCCTAATGTGAAAAGAGTGAATTGCTAAAAGAGTGAATAATGTTTATTACGAAAGTTATATCTTACCCTTCTCCTGTTGCAGGGATATGAATCATTTCCCAGAAGAAGAATGTACTTTTGCAGGTTTGGGGAAGGAGCCATGTATATTCCTGCAGATGCATATCCGCATAAGTTATGCTAGGTAATGATGGATCTGATTTTAATTCAGCTTTTAGACTAATATACCAAATACTAGAGGAAAGAGCCCTGGAAGCTTGAAACTCATTTCAATAGAAAGACCTTTGTCAAATCATTGCTTGACTCAAGCACTCCAAAGCAGCGACCGGGCGGCGGCGGGGTTTGCGGAGCCGCTTTCAGCACTGCTGATCCGATTGGCACCCCAAGCCGAAGCTGCTCACCAGACATTCTCCAGTGACGTCGTCACAGGATTCCGCATGACTGAAGCACTGACAGGGTTCACAGATGCCACCAAACGTCGTGCCATTCACCCTTCTGTGCCTGGGCCAACAGGACTGGAAGGGAGATAAAAGGCAGCAGTCAGACTTGGGTATTAGGACAAAGTTTTTGTTTTGTTTTTTCTGGTAGTAGAAAATTACAGGCAGCAAACTCAGTAAATGATCTTTGTTAACGCTTAGCCATTATGGAAGCATTGGTACAGCACCATTACTCCTGACATCCAGGCTTTGTACTGACCTTGGGATTACGGGCAGGTGTGAGATTAGAGGAAGCCTTAGTGGGCTGCTTCTTCTGAAATGGTAAGATAAAGCACAGATATAAAGAACTGAAATGTGACAGTAAAAAGCAGACAGGAATAGAGAAGAAAAAATACTGAAAGAAAGCAGCAGACATGAAAGGCCTCTCAAAGCATCAGCCCGCGAGAGCAGCTAAAGATGCCATCCCGAGCAATTGGGAACCCGCTCAGGCGCACACGGTGCCTCGATTGCCCTGAACTGCTTTGCTTTCAGAAACCCTTCACGGTCACGTGTGGGACTGAGAACAGCCCCTTCTTATGCTTAATATTATACCCAGTTCATTTCTCAATATATAATTCATACATTTCAGTCTGAATTTTTCTTCCTAATGCGCTTTCTGAAATGTAAACAGAATACTTTAAGAATTACTTGCCCTACTTTCTCATTCCCTTGAGAGTTTACTTTATGGTATTATTCTACTATAGCTTTCCTTATATTCACCACTGCTCTTTAAAATGTGATGCATCTTATTATATAAAACCAGAATTCGGATTAGAACAGGATTTATGGGTCTTAGCTTACTTATATGTCAATGCCTGCTCTGTGTCCATCAACACTCTTAATTAATCCCGCTTCTGGGGGATTTCTATAAACTGGATGAGATGTAAAATAATTCCAAGATGACCATTACTGCCCCGTAGGGGTATATGATTCTCTCAAGTTGTAACTTTGTAGATTATTTACTATATTTCTGTATGGTGAAATACAACACCATATATCCTAAAAAGATCTTTTTTCTACTTGAAAATGGAAACAAGACAGAACAACTGAAGTAGTAAAGTATATAGAATTGTGTTCTGTATTGTTAGAAATGTTCCTTCTGCCTCCGGATATAAGGACTCTTCAGTTCAAACATCAATAACAAACATATGAGGGAAAGAGTGTGCAGATATTTCATATCTGAAAATGAAATCAACTTTTCTCTTAATTTGACCATCACAAAAATGTCCATTTTCTACACATTTTCAATAATTTCTCCTTATTAAATTTTTTGTGTCTATTGATTCTATATAGAAGTGATTTCCTTTTGTAATATATATTTTTAGAAGTTGGTAAAGTCACATATCGAGAAAGGAGGAAAAAAACATAAGGATATTGAAAATGGAGAGACAAACAATTTATTGTTTTCAAGGCAGACATTCATGGGGTTTTCTTTCATATATATTTTTAATACTTTGAAACATGCCACTCATACCGTGTCTTCTGCTGGCAAGCTTCACAACTTCCTTGCTAGAAAGGAATTGCTCTCCCAGCCAGTGATTTGGCCTCAACAGTCACAGAAAAATTAGAGTCCTCATCCTGCCACAAAGCCAACAAGTAAGCAACACTCGCCACACATTTTTGTCAATTTGCCCCTAGGGATAGGAGGCAGGAGGGATGCAGGACCTTTTTCTTTTGAAAGGAAAATTACTCTACTTTTATTAAGGGTTCTAGTGTAGGTTGTCTTTTCACTGTTCTCTCTCACTGCTGCATCATAAAAGCTTTCTTTTTGTTGAATAATTATCATCATCTCAAAAAAGATCTATTATTGCCATCAAACATTAACTAACAGAAATAACAAAAATGACAAAATTATCCCCTTAACATCACATAATGGTTCTAGTCACCTTCTTTTCTTTTCAGCAAAACTACACTAAAACATCTTTTCTTCCCCAATTTCCTTCCACACCTAATTCTGTGCTAACCTGTCTTTTGCCCACTCAGTATAGCCTGTGCTTGCCTTTGTTATCAAATTCCAGGAAGCAAAATCCAATGGACCATCCTGTGATTGTGTTTTACCTGACCTCCCACCCTCCTCGGGTCTAACTTCTTCATTCAATGCCTGCGACAATCACACTCCCCAAGCTTCCTTTTTCCCCTGGTGTCTTCTGTGAAACTTCTCACAGTCAGGAGCCACTCAGGGCTTGAGCTGGGTCATTTCTCTCTTCTCGTTCCACTTTCTCCTGGGCAATGATTTAGTTCGACCATTTGATGCCTTCCCAATTTTCATCAGAGCAGCTGCATGGGCTGAGTTTGAACCTTTGGCATTCACTCTGCATTCAATCTGCAATTCATGTTCCACAGTCTTTCTGAGCTTAATATTGCTAAGAGGGACTGTTGATTCTCACTTGTACCAGCCCAGTCTTCCCAGTCCAATCAGTGCTTTCACATCTAATGTACAGTTTTTTGCACCAGTAAACTGTTCTCTTCTGGTATATGTTCATCAGTAAGTCCTATTGGTTCTGCTAGTGGTATATATGCTATGACCAGGAATTTTTACATCCACTGCCATTATCCTGACAGGCCATTAGCATTACTATGTTCTAGTGTTTCTTTCTTACCATTTGTGTCTTTTGCCAAAATGTTTTTCATACTATAGACTTAAGGATGTTTTGCCCCCAAAAGGTAACTCATAGCGCTATCCTCCTTAGATACCTATAATGATAGTCTCAAGTACTTAGAAAAAAAAATGATTTATACAAAATCCAGAGCATGAGGCTTTCTCTAATCACATGTAGAGCCACTCAGCCTGCTGTTTACTAAGTTTTGGCCACATGTGTCTTTTTGCAGGGATTGCATATTCCAAGCACCACACCTCTTCCTTCGTATGTGGCTTTCCACACAGCCTCTTGAGCTTTGCCACTTGGTTTAACAGCACCACCTCAGAAAGCCTTGCCCGACCAAATTTTGTGAGGTAGGCTTCCCAGACTTTGTACGTCCTCCCTTCCTATGCAATCTGTGTATGCTCACCCCTTGTGCCTCCATGTGACACTGTTTCTTTTACCTGGTATTTTAAGGACCATACGCATGTCACTCATCGCATTCCATGGTGAGGACCTTGATTGTCTCAAAATGTACTTTCATCAAATGTTAGCTAAACGAATGTACAAACATTTCTATGAGGTATTTCCCATTAACTCTGTTGTACTGAAGAGGAAACAGATTTGGCCTAAAGCCTTTATACTTCATTTTGCTTTTACTTCTTCATCTTTCAAGCAAAATGAATTGTGATAGGACTAGGATAAGAAGAAAATATTTAGAAGACTAACTGAACAGAAATTTGTAAGCTATTGTGATGATTGGGCTTAACTGTAATTTGATTGGGTGGGGAACTTCCAGGGGATTAGTGAAGAACTTCAGAGGGTCTCTACTGGGCTCACAGGAGCCTGACTGTGCTGCTAAGTCTGGTCTCTGTCCTCATCCACTCTGGTATTGTTTGCCTGCTTGGCTTCCCACGAAGCCAGCACCTTGTTTCTCCATACTTCTTTCCCATGATGTTTCTACCGAGGAGTCAGCGGCCATGGATTAAACCCTCTCAAACTATGAGCCTTATATATGCTTTCTTTTTTAAGGGTATTCTGGGTATTTGGTCCTCTGCTTCTTTGTTCTTTCCAACTTGTCTGTTCCTCTCTATCTCTTATCATTATTTAGCATCTGTAGGACACTTTCTCAGACATCCTCCTTCACTAGAATAGCACAATATTTGCAGTGATAATTGCTTTTGTGACATGTGCCATTTTTTTAAATTATAGAGTGCTTTGACTCAAATTCTCATAAGCATTTGTATGTGTCTCTGAAGAGATCGATGCATCTTTGAAATTAGTCTTATATACTTAATGATTGTCTACACATTTAAAATTTATACAAATAAATTTATATAATTATCAAATATGTATAGATTTTTTTAAAAAATATTTTGAAGAAGAAAAAGAGAGACAAAAAGCATAGCCAAATAAATAATTCTAACATTCAGACAATTTTACACTCAAAGAACATTTGGTTTTTATGCAAACGATCATAAAGAAGATAACAATATGGAATATATTTAAGCAAGAATAAAATTAAAGTATTTATTTTTCCAATTGAAAAGGGAATTTATCAGTTCATCCCTGGTTCCACCAAAAAAAAAAAAGAAAGAAAGAAAAGGGAATTTAAAGCTTCAAAAGGAACTGTTTCTTTGGAAATCAAAACTTGAAGACTATAACAAAAGAATGTTTCTTCAAATACAATCTGTATTTTATATATAAAATAAAATTTGGGCTGACATAGGTAATGCACATCCTGGGCTACTTTTCTCTTTCTTCTAAAAATTTTGAAAAAGCAAATGCTTCAAAAAATTACATTTATTATGACTTCTAGATAGGCAAATCTTAGTCCAGTTAAATAAAACATGTTTGTCATGAGTAAGACTCTAAATTCTGCATATTCTTGGAAGCATTAAATTTCTGAAAGTACAAGAGAATTGACAAAGCCATGTGGAGTATTTCTATAAATGCATAACAGGGTAGCATTATATATATGTGTATTAATAGTTTAGTATTTAATTAATTAATTTATTTATTTGGTACAGGGTCTCACTATGCAGCTCAGACTCCTAGTGACCCTCCTGTCTCAACCTCCACAGCACTGAGATTATAGGCATGCGCCACCACGCCCAGACTCAGTGGCCAGCTCAGTGCACTTGGGGTCCTGGGGCCAGCATGACATGTGGTACTTGGAACTGAACACAGTCCTTGCACTTTCCAGGCAGGTGCTTAGAATGCCTAGCTATCTCCCTAGCCAATAGGGGAACATTGTAAATTAGAACATCTTGGTACACTCAAATCATTCCTTAGGGGCACTGTTTTAAAGAATTTAAATTTTCATTTATTTGCAAGCGTTTCTCCCTTGAGGGAAATGATGTTTACAATTGTTGACTAGGTTTAAAGTAAAATCAAATTTTAAACTACTTAAAAGAAAATAATTTAAATAAATAAAATTTATCCCCTTAAATGGTATACTGTGTTACTAAGAAATATTAATTATAAACCTATAGTGCAGAATCAATAATAAGTACATCAAATTTTAGTTTTCTACAGGTCAGTGAACACTAAGGAATGTTCCAGAGCAAGGCACTTCTTGCATGTCCTATGTTCTTGATATTTTAAATACTGTATGTCTCACATGATGAAATTTGTTTGTATTCTTAAGAACTAAGCAGAGGAAAACTGTCATACATAGAATTAAAAGTGGGAGAAAAATAAAAAGAATTGTATTAAATTTTGCATAGCCACTGAAATGGAACTAAAGTGATATTTTGAAAAACTATTCTGCTATCATCTAGTATGCAATTGATGACACAGGAAAGAAACAATTGTGGAACATCAAATTTTCAGTCATAGCAATGCAAAATCCCTCAAAAGGAAACATAATTTCAGAAAGTGATTTAAAAGCTATGATTTTTTGATAGACATCAACACTGTCCTTTGGGAACACAATTGTGATGGGAAAAAAATCCAGCTTTTTCTGGCCCATTTTATGCACTGCGCTGTTGGGAGAAGCTTGGGATGAACCAAGGCCGAGCTCAGGCAAACTTACCTCACAGGAGGAGCCGCTGTAGCCCGGTGGGCACTGGCAGACCTCCACAGCAGCAGCCACACTTCCATCGGTTGGAGAGGGGACAGCAGACTCCAGGCTGACATCCCGCAACCTAAGAAAAGAGTGACAGGAATGGTGAGCCAATAGTCCACATATGACAGTGAGTAGGAAAGGCCCAGTGACAGCCATGCTCCCAGGAGCCAGCCATCCACTCTGAGGAGGAAGGCCACGGATATCCACAACTAAACTGTCACTCTTATGCAGTCAGCCCCGGCTATGCATGAGTTTCACAGCCTTGGAGTCAATGAGCTGTGGATTGAAAATACTTGGGGAGGGCTTGCTGAATAGCTCAGCGGATTAAAGTGCCTGCTTAGGCAAGCGCTTGGGGACTGGGCTTCGATCCCTATGCTGTGCCGGCCCTGACCCTCAGGCGTGCTGAGACAGGGATTGAGACTGGGCGTGGTGGTGTGTGCCAGTAATCCCAGCGCTTGGGAAGCTGAAAACAGGAGAATCACTACAATTCTGATCTACGTTGTGAGGCCTATAGACCCTGCACTAAATACATTAAAAGAGAAAGAAAATACTTGGGGAAAATTTGTATCTGCACAAAACATATACAGACTTGAATAACATCAATACAGAATGACATCAATTTCCAAAGCACTGAAATTGCATTGGATATCATAGGCAATCCGACAGTTGAAAGCACACGGGAAGTTTAGCATTCAAGTGCAAACCCCACTCCATTGGAGCGTCGAGTCTCTGTGGCCTGGGTACCCGCAGGAGTCCTGCACTTATCCCTGAAGATGCTGAGTATAGATCGTGGTAAGGCCCACGTAGAAGCACTGATTTCACCACCATATAATACTGGAAAGATAGGAGAAATCTCCTCCCCATTTCCTGGTTTCTAGAAAATTGTCTTAATTTTTGATTTGGAAGAATAGATGGCAGGGTTTGAAACCATAAAGTTGAAAGAATTTTTAAAAAGCAAATAATCTCCTGACTGCTTATTTTAATATGTAAATTTTAAAAAAACAGAAGGTGACAATATGTAGTACAGTCAAACAATACAATGGATATTTCAATTCTTTTGTTTCTTTGTGCTGGGAATGGAACTTGTGCACTTGTGCTTGCCGAGTAGGTGCTGTGCCGTGAAGCTATATCCCCAGCCTCCTAATATTTAAATTCTTTAAAAATAAATTCTTACAGTAAGAGACATTAATCTTCCTCAGAATATTCAACCGTACTGCTTCCCAGCATTCTTGCTATTTTCTGAAGCAGTTCTGGAAATCTTCTTTTGTGCTTTGAGTTGTGCTCTTGTGGCCACCTCAAACACCTGGATCAACTAAACAGTTACTGAATTCATGCACCTACAATATATGAATGGCAATGGACTACCCATCTCTGACAAAAGTAAGGACCATTTTGTAGTGAAAAAAATATATATCTGTATATATAAAATAGTGAGCATAGATATACAGCTACTTTCTCTTAGTTCAATGAGAAGAGAGTTTTGAACTAATAGTGTTTAGATGAGATATCATGTCTGCATCTTGGACTCTGAATAACTACTACAAAGACAATAATATGCAATGCATTAATTGTTGTAACTGTCCTAATAACCTGTTTTGAAATTGTCTCATTGTTACTTCTTTCTCAATTAAATTAATATTAAAAAAAGTTCACCTCTTGTGGTGATTTAGATTCTGGGGAAGAGCTGGTGGCTACACCGAGACAGATCTGGTGAATAAGGCAGCCGGGGAGGCACCACCGTGCTTCCCTCAGCCTCCCTTTGTGCCGGAGGCCTTGTAGCAGCAGCACCCACACTGCTTGTCATCACACTTCATAAAAGCACTCATGCAAGGGGAACTTCTCCATCTTCTTCAGAAAGTGGCAGAAGTGGTTGGGCTAAGTGTGCTCAGAGCGAGGGAGAGGACTTTGAGAGAGTGCACAGCAAGGTGTCTTTTAATGTCATATTTTAAACATATAGCATAAGTTTTGATCAGTCCTCATAGTAATCTTAGATCTCAGGTTTCAAATGGAAGTAAAGGAAGGAAGGAATTTTGGTTTCTATTCCCAGAGATAAGACTGCATGTTGGTAGCAAGAACAAGTAACTTTTCCAAATGCTCATTTGAATTAGAGCTATTTCCTTAAATTGTTTTTGGCCTAAATGAAATCATTATTTCCTATGTGTATGGGCTTCATTTTATTGGTACTTCTGTACCATCTGGTGGTTTTAGCAGAGTGATTTAGCCTCAGTTATTATTTTAGAGAAAAGCTGGCTTGACCAAATTCCAAATTTAAAAAATATTGTGTTTGCATAGTTGATGCATACAAATAAATACATATTTCCTTCATTAATACACATTCAAAAAATTAAAACATGCTTTAAGTTTTTTACTGACACTTTCCCATTTTTATAAAAGAATGTGAAAATCTTTATTGTTAAGAATACATTCTTGACACTGGATAGTACTTCGGAATATGTATGAGTTCATATATCAAGAAGTAAAAAGGAATCTAAACAGAAACCATAGAACAGAGCCAAACAGACCTGATTCACGTCACGGCTGTGAAATTTATAAAGTTGGTGACCTGGAAAAAGCGTTGATTCTACTGAGCCCTCAATTTTTACATCTCCACAGTGGGATAACATAATGGTCCATAAGCGATGAGCTCGGTTAAATAAAATAATAAATGTAAAGCTCTCCATATAATATATAACACACATAGGTGGTTATTAAATTCTAGATATTTTACTAATATATTTTCATTAATTGTTGAAACAATAAAAATGACTAGTATGGGAAAAATTAATTGAACTACTTGTAAATCCACATCATTTGCCGAATATTACATAAACTCTTAAAGCACAAAATTAAATGACTACGTAAAGCAATTAGGCAAAAGAAAGAAACAAAATGTATCAACTTATCTCTGTCTGGATGTGATATGATTCTAAACACAGAAAGCCTGCAGGGTCCCCCAAAGACTCACAGGACAGATAGATGACTCAAGTAAAGTTGCAGAGCACAAGATTAACGTTTGAAAATCAATAATATTTTTATACAGCAATAAAAATTTTGCTAAGAAAGAAATAATGAAAACAATCACTGATCCTGGACTTGCAGCCTTTGCAACAGTGAAAAATAAATTTTCATTCCTTATTGGAAAAAAAAATCAACCAAACAAAATGCTACATGACTGCTACTGCTTCAAGGGTGCTCATCACTGGTTTTTATTTTTTATTTTTTTCTTTTGGCAGAACCAGGGATTGAACTCAGGCCGTTGCGCTTGCCAGGGAAGCGCTTATTCCACTGAGCCATCTCCCTGGCCCCTCATCACTGGTTCTTAAAATGATTGCTAAAACTCTATAACACATAATAGGGCATTCCTTAACCTAAGAAAGTTTTCAACCCACTCTGCTAGGGCATACGTGTTGAATTTCTTTCTCAGGATTGATATTAGATTTTTTATTGATTAGAGAAGCCACATTTACCAGACAGTTTGGCAGATTCGGAGCTCGGTGCTATAGTCAAGCTGGAGTAAAGCTAAAGGGTTTATTACGTGGTTAAAATGTGTTTTCAAAAATGTAAATCTGTGACAACATTGTAAGCATTTCAGCAAGAAGATTCTATGATGTTTATCGCTTTCTCTTCCACTTACTAGGCCCCCGCGGTGGGCAGTACTGTGAATCTGTGTGAGTTCACATAGCGAGACACACAAAAGTGTTCTAAACGGAACTCTTAGAGGGCAGCGTTGAGCGTCCTTCTAAGCCTGATGTGATCTTCAAGAGCAGATGAACTCACTCTATACTGCTTCTTGAATGCTGTCTTTTCTAGGGACAGGCCATGTACATCCTCGTAGAACGTTCTAGAGCAGGAACATTCAAAATCACTGTTTTACAACGCTTGTGTTACATAAGCAAGTTGAGTATCAGAAATGATCTCCTTCCAGGCTGAGGGGATAATTCGGTGGTCTAAGTACCTGCCTGGCAAGCACAAGTACCCAAATCTCATCTCCGGTACCACAGGCTGGGCCAACCCTGGAACCAGGGCACGCTGTGCCAGCCACCGAAATCTGGTGTGGAGGTGCATGCCTGTAATCCCAGTTCTGGGGAGACTGAGGCAGGAGGATCACTGTGAGTCCAAGCTGCATAGTGAGGCCCTGTGCCAAATACATAAATAAATAGATAAATAAATATTTTTTGAAAAGAAATGCCCTTGCCCCATCACATAACCTTGTTCGTGAGATGTTGTCCCTCAAGCACGTTATTTTCTTACTGCTGTACAAGAAACCTATACAACAAAGCTGAGCATTCACAGCATACAGTTGTGTGTCCTGCAGAACACTGACCATGGTGTGCAGCCGCCACTGTTCTCTAGGGCCAAGACATGTCATAGGAAGAAAATATGGCCCCGACAACGGAGTAGACGCTTACGCCCAAGAATTTCTCGGTTTGGAAAGTCTTCTGAATCCAGCAGCATTTAGAAAAAATACCAAACTAAATATAGTGTTTACCTTTTTGGATACACATTACAAGCTATTCCTTACAAACAGAGGCCCTGTCATGACATCCATGTATGAACATAGTTATCACAATTCAAGCTCAGTCCATTTTTGTTGGGTGAATGAATGGGTGGATGGATGGATAGACAGATGGAGCGATTGATGGATGAACACACATATAAATGCATAACTAAGGCTGGCCAAATAGCTCAGCAGATTAAAGAGCCTGCAAGCAGGTGCAGGGGCCAAGGGTTCGATCCCCGGGGCCTGCCACGCTGGCCCTGCCCCCGGGTGTGATAAGACAGCGATTGAGACTGGGCGTGGTGGCGTACACCTGTAATCCTAGCTCTTTTGAGGCTGTAAATAGGGGGGTCACTATGGGTCCGATCTAGTAGTGAGACTCTGAACACCCTGTAGACCCTTTCCTAAAATACAATAAATAAATAAATAATAAATGAATAACTAGCTAATTAAAAATTACAGAAATGAATGCATGAAAGGAATACAGGGATATTAAATGAGTATGGCAAATGATAAAATAAAAGCCACGATCTAATTTTTACATGAATAAAATTTGACAAGAGATAAATTATATGTTTGAT